TCAGCGGAAAGCACTGCGGCATCTACGCCTGCAACGGCTGCAGCGGCTTCTTCAAGCGCAGCGTCCGCAGGAAGCTCATCTACAGGTGGGGATACAGGTCAGGGGGTCCCCCCAGGGCAGAGACCGGGAGGACGGGTGGTCAGAGGGGCAGGGACCCAGGGGTGGACACCCAGAGGGACAGGGAACATGGGAATGGATGCTCAGTGGGGTAGGGACTAGGGCACCCAGTGGGGTAGGGACTAGGGCACCCAGTGGGGCAGAGACCCATGGGATGGACACCTAGCAGGACAGGGACCCTGGGGATGGACACCCAGTGGGGCAGGGACCCCCAGTGAGGCAGGGACCCAGGGGAGATGTGAACCCAGCAGGGCAGGGACCAGGGGACAGGCACCCAATGGGGCAGGGACCTGGGTGGGAGGTCCAGGGCACCCATGGGGACATGACTCCCATCAAGGCAGAGTATTCACTGGGACAGGGCAGTCATGGAGGGGGGACAGGGCACCCGTTGGTTGGGAACAGGGTGCCCATCGTGGTGAGGCACCCATTGGGTGGAAGACTCCCATGGTGGGGAGGGGACAAGACAGCAGGGACAAAGCACCCCAGGACATGGTACCCCTGGGAGCAGGACACCCCTGAGGGACAGGATCCCACCCTGGGGACAGGGGCCACCCCAGGGGCTGCAGCCGGGTGCCATCTCTCCCCACAGGTGCCAGGCAGGGACAGGGCTGTGCCCAGTGGACAAGGCGCACCGCAACCAGTGCCAGGCCTGCCGGCTCAAGAAGTGCCTGCAAGCCGGCATGAACAAGGATGGTGAGACAGGTGGAGGGGACACGGTGACGTGGTGGGGACGGTGATAACGGAGCAGTCAGCGTTGATGCCACCTTGTCCCCGCAGCTGTGCAGAACGAGCGCCAGCCCCGCAGCACGGCCCAGGTCCGGCTGGACAGCATCGAGCTGGACGCTGAGCTGCCCCCCGAGCACGTGGCCACCACCCGTGAGGTCCCCCCGACCCCCTGCCCAGCTCCCCATGGTCCTGGTGCTGCCGTCACTGTCACCCCGGGTCCCCGAGCGCCCACGCCACCCACCAACCATCGCTTCATGGCCAGCCTGATGACGGCCGAGACCTGCGCCAAACTGGAGCCTGAGGATGGTGGGTGGCCACAGGTGGGGAGGGGATAGGTGAAGGGTTGTTCCCAAGGTGAAGTGACCACCAGAGTCCTCTTCCATCCCCACAGCTGATGAGACAGTGGATGTGACGGGCAGCGAGCCGGAACGGGCAGTTGGCGAGTACCAGGTGGCACCGTACCCAGCGACCAGCCCCGAAAACGTCTACGAGACGTCGGCGCGTCTCCTCTTCATGGCTGTGAAATGGGCCAAAAACCCGCCCATCTTCTCCAACCTGCCCTTCGGTGGGGTTGGGGACCCCCATGGGGCATCGGGGACCCTCACGGGGCAACAGAGACTCCAAAAAACATCAGCAACTGGTGGGGTGGGAATGCCTGGAGCATCCCCACAACGTTCACTGCAGGGTCTTGGGGTGCCCCTCAGATGTTCTTCAACCTAAACCACCATAGTGGCTGCAGTGTTGGAGGCTTCAGAGCTGACGGGGGTTTTTTTTGGATCTCCCCCCCTCTTTCCAGGTGATCCTGCTGGAGGAAGCGTGGAGCGAGCTGTTCCTGCTCTGTGCCATCCAGGGGTCCATGCCCCTGGCGC